TAGCGAACCAGTTCTGGCACTGGCGTACTGTCAACACACCTTCTCCATACACATCAGTCAATTTTCTTTCTGGCTTGAACAGCATTTTTCCCTTTCTGTAGTAAAACAGTAAGATACGTCGAAAATGCTGCTTATCGCTCTCCATATTTAAAAGGGCACCAACCAAAAACTACTGCGTAGAATTAATTGGAATTTTTCACACACAAGCCTTGCTTTATGAGCTCTCAAAGCATATAAAAAGTATACGGCTTAAATATGAAGTTGGGTGCAAAAGAATACAATTAAATCCTCTGTCGGGAAAAAACGAAATGACTTTCCGAACAACCCTATATCATTCTCTATCTCAGTTTAACTGATTTTGTCTACTAAAGGCAGAAACGATATATTTGCTGTTTTCTTTCGGTACTTGGTATCTTTTAAATTACTCAATAAAGTTGAATGAAATTTGAAAAAACTCGAGTACTCTCTCTTTACAGCCCTTCACGTATATTTGACCGTTTTTCTACAATTTTTTGTAGATGTAATATCTAGTAAGTTGAAATTGTGATGCAGTAGTATCTGTGTATAAAAGGAATAGAAAGGTAACGTCAAAATTATAAGAAGAAAAACGATCATGTACTTAAGGAATAAAATATATACAGATATAATCGAGAATAAGCTGGAAGGGATGATTATAGAAAATGATATTTTATGCGAAACGCAATTTTGGTTTAGTCAGGGAAGGGGTATAATAGACGCGATCTTTTTGTTACAGAATATTATCTAATCAAATAAATTTAAAGGAAAAGGTTTTACGTACCTGTTAAATGTAAAAGAGATACATAAACCGATGTCACAATGGTGATGGAACTTGTTTCATCGTGATATTGTGATAAGTAGGGTCCAAATATTAAAGCAAAACTTGAAATAGGCGCTAATGTAATTGTCTGAAATATCGTTGCAATTTTTTTTTTTAAAAAATCAGAAAATATGAACAATAAATCTTAGTTGTTTATGTATTTACCTTATGCATTTAATATTTTTGCTTTTACCTACCAAAATGGGAGTAGCTGCAATATTAATCACATGGGCATAGCCTCCATCGGGTGGCAACAGTTTATATTTATCACTTTTGTTTAATATTTCAGAAGCCATTTTTAATTTGCGTGTTTTGTTTTCTTCTAGTTAATTTCTAAAGTAGGTCGTGCGACCATAAAAGTTTTTTTTTTTTAAACTTGGCTTCTACAAAATGAAGAAATGCGACTAAAGGTTAAAAGACCGATTAGTTCGGAAAAAACGTAGTTAACAAACCTATTATTTAATTTGCACAAACGGTAAATGCATTACATTTGTGACATTGGTCATGCCGAAGAATGCTCATGCTAAGTATTTAAAAACCGACCATAGAACTTGTTGTTTATCGTTATGTATGCAAAATATGTACCAAATAGTTTTGCCTTAAAAAGTAATAAGTCGGTTTGCATAACAGTATAAATGAATTAGATTATTTGTTAATCTAATACTTATTTATTTTTATTTTTTTGCGGAAAATGTTTTTTGTCTTTGACTTGCTAAGAAATATTATCAAAGAAAAATTCAAGGATCGAATTGAATAATAATAATTATTATTAAGACTAAATCACTACATAGTACAAAACAAAGTCGCTTTCCCGCTGTCTGTCCCTATGTATGCTTAAATCTTTAAAACTACGCAACGGATTTGGATGCGGTTTTTTTTTTAAAGATAGAGTGATTCAAGAGGAAGGTTTATATGTATAATACATGCATAATATAGTAGGAAAACAGTGATAATTTTAGAGGTTTCTAATGTGATGTCGTAAATAAACACATTTTTTGCGCTTACATTGCAAACGCTGGCTGAACCCTACGAGATAGATCAAAATAATGTACTACAATATTGTACATCTTAAAAGGGTCTACAAAAAAGTCCGGGATGGTATATGTCTATCTCTTAGGGATAACCCACAATAACCATTTTTATCCTTTACTTTTTATGAGAAATAATGACTTATTTACGAAGCGATTGTAGGCAATACAGCATTAATTCTTATCCAATTAAGTACCTTAAATACATTGTGCATTTAATATAGATCAATATGGCCCTTTACAGCATGTAATTTAAATGAATATTTTCGAAGATATTACAGATTTAAAATGCAGGGACATAGCGGTTGCGGCGGTACCGGCCGGGAGGCCGGTTTGTATTGTCTAATGACAAAAAAACTGTGAATGTTGTATATAAAGACATTCTGTAGTATATTTAGTATGTTCAGGGGGTATCTTTTGAAGATTTCCCCTTTTCGATAATAATCTAAACAAAACAAAAATATACATATTTAGTATTAGCATTGCACCCGTCCGAAGCTGGGGCGGGTCGCTTGTATATATATAAAACTTTAATTTGTATATTTTCACTAGTTCGTATCAAAAACATACTACATATTGTTTTTTTTGCTTTCGTGGAAAAAGAGAAATCTTCAAAAGTCTGCGTAATGTCGGATTTCCGAGGAAGAAGTCCTGCTAAAATTTTAGTCTCATCACCACACCAAAATATGTATAAGTTTAGAAAATAGACGATTGCTTCTTTTTATTTATTTTACTGCCTATAAAAAACAAGATAGCTAGAATATATAGTAAAATACATTTCATTAATTACTTATTTGTTAATAAATAAATGCTATTTACATATTTACAAATTAGTTAAGGAATTACAAAATTGGTTTATTTTATCGCGAAAATGTTCTTTTGGATTTCCAGTAATTATGTATCATTTGTATTGTCCACGGAATTGCACATAAAAAGAGAATAGCTGTGAGGGAATGCAGTACCACCGCATGACTACCTGTTTGATATTTCATAATTCCTGAAAAAAAAAGAACAAATAAGTGGATTGTGATTCTTGACGGCAGCTAAAGGGAATTTTTACCTATTAGAGCTCCAATTATAACCGATAGAACTCCGTTGAACACCATATACAGTGAATATGCGCTGGTAAATTTTCTCGCATAGATTTCTGCGATAACCATGGGTACAGGTACCTGAATTAAACACCGTGAGCTGCCCATAAGTGCGGTCAAGACAACCAGGAACCAAAACGAATGATCTGCAACGAAAACTTAAAAAAAAAAATAATGTACTATTGCACCATTTTCTACAAAATCATTAAATATATACGTGAACGTGGAAACTTTTGGTAAAATTTTTGATTATTTGTTACGGGTGGAGGGTAGTGAAATTAATTGCAAGGTATCTATACTATGTCTGTACTAGTAGTATGGTAAAATACTGGTATGCAAGGGAAAAAAAAAGTATCGAAAGAACGAATATAAAGATCGGAGACGAAAAATTAGAAGAAGTGATTTTAGATACCTAAGAAGTCAGATAAGTCAGGATGGAAGGAGTAGTAGGGCTATAAAGCAGAGGATAGCACAGGGTCGTGTCGCCTTTAATAAAAAGAAGCCACTTCTATGCTCGCGAACGGTTAATTTAGAAATTCGAAAAAGGTTATTAAAGGTGTATGTTTGGTGCACGGCGTTGTACAGGTGCGAAACATGGACAGTGGGAGCGGCGGAAAAGAAAAGGTTAGAAGCGTTGGAAATGTGGTGTTATAGGCGGATGATGAGGATAACGTGGGTAGAAAAGGTTAGAAATGAAGAGGTATTAGAAAGAATAGGAGAACAGAGGACTGTATGGAAGTCAATAAAAAATAGGCGAGATAGGTTGGTAGGACATCTTCTCAGGCATGAAGGTCTAGTCGAAGACATATTAGAGACAGAAACAGGAGTCAAGATGGGTAGAGGTAGACCTAGATTAGATTACTGTTCGCGAATAGTTAAGGATGTGGGCTATTCTAGTTTTAGGGAAATGCGAAGTTTAGCTCAGGACAGGAAAGAGTGGAGATACGTGTCCAACCAGTCTTAGGACTGACGACCTTATGATGATGATGATGACTAGTAGTAATTGAATTCACTCACCTATTCTTAATATTACCGTTATAAGAACGTTTATTAAAAATAGTTGTCGTATACTGAAGACGCAAAAAGCTGTTATGAGACTGAATATTACCCTGGTAACCAGATCGGAAGTAAAAAATATGGTCATCATAAGGGTTACTTCATTTTTTGTGAAACCCATGTTGAAAAATGAAATGGGTAAAATTGCCATAAAATTTGTTTCTGAAATGACAGAAATCGCCAACCCAAGAACCAAGTTCCAATAACAACCGTCTTTTAAAATAATGAAGTCCATGCTACTTGTTTTTGAACTTCTGAAATGTAAAACGATAATCATTTAGGCAAAAGACAATAATTATGAAATAACTTGAACCTACCTTTCTTCATTTTGAATTTGAGATAAGTATAATGTTGTACTCGCCAGAGATGTTAGCGACTTTGATAATTTATTTTGATCAGGCAAAATAATAAGAGCCTTGTCTTCTAAAAGTTGTTGCGCATCTACTTCTGATGGTACCGGGGAATATTTTGCGCTGTTTTCGTTATTCGAGCAAGTAGAGTCTGATAATGAAACCTCTATGGAGAAATCCAAAAATGTTATAAATGATTCACCAAAAATGAAGAAAATCCTTACCTGCATCATCCATTAACCTTCGCTTTAAATGCCATTTGACAGGATGCAGCAATAACGCTCCTAAAATAATGTGCAAGCTTATTGCAGTGAAAATAGTTTGTGTCCCTCGAAATCCATAATTTTCTAGTAAAATCCTGGTAAATCCAGGATAGACAATGTTTACCAGTGCCATTACCGTTTGCCCAATAGCCATGGCCAAACTTTTTTTTCTATCAAAATATACGTTTACTGCTGATAACGCTGAAGGTAGTAACAGCCCTGTTCCCAGTCCTATAATTCAAAATTTGTAAGACTGTGCAAAGTGCCTGTATTTAGAGATAAAAAAAATTAATAATAACTCGTGGGTGGCAGCCAGAGATGTGATTTATTTGAAATATTTGCATTTAAAATGCAAATACAAAATAAAAAAAATCGGTTGTCTATAAAGTCGGTTTACTGACGATAGTTGAACGTGACAACGTCATAAGAAAATACTGATGGAATGGTTTCATTTTTCAAAAGAAAATTTTAATTTTATTTGTTTGATAGATATTTTGTATGGATATAGAGAAGGAGGTAAATGGAAATNGTTCGGAGCACACTCGATTTTATTATGTTACGCTAGTACGTGACTCTTATACAAATGCGAAATTGTTTTACGGCTCATGTAGTTGTGTCTGCCATTTTGGATTCATTGCTCATTTGCATCATACTGATGAATTGCAATCTGTTCAACGTTTGTTGGAATTCTAAAAAGTATGCCCAAATAGGAGGATAATTTCAGTACCTACCCAAATTAAATCCAAAATGAAAAGTTTTTAGGTAAAAGATTCTACCATCATAAGGAATAACTAATTCTTAATTTGAAACAGTACCAGAGATGCGATTTATTTGAAATACTTGAATTTAAAATGCAAATACAAAATAAAAAATACTTATGCAAATTACTTTTTTGCCTTTAAAAGGTTTGCTAGTATCACCGATCAAATACTTATTATATGAAATGATGAATAAAAGTTGCTTACATTGGCTATTGAAGGTATTACAAGCTTAAAAATGAGACAAAGAGACATTCCATGAATGCCTTCTAATTCTTTAACTGAAGAGAACCCAAAAAATTGTCAACTCCTTTGAAGTGGATAATTTAAAATATTGGATCGATATTGTTTTCCGGGTTCAATGTCATGGTCCATGGAATTTTGAAGTTCCAAATTGATATCATCACTTATCGTGCCTTTAATAAGGAACTACGAAATTTTATGAATTACGACAAAACAGCCCGCAAAACAATATCCAATTGATATACGCCAGTTGTGTAAAACTAAAAACTACAAGATATTGTGGTGTGCTAATAAATGCATATAATCCAAAATTCTTAGAAAACGATTCGAAAACTTCACTTATTAGATGAACCCAAAGCTAAAGAAACTATGGATTCCATTTCCTTCTCTTATAACAATGTGTAAAAGATCAGGAACAAAATATTTTGATATAAAATTATTGATGTTGATTTTACGTCAATGAAATTATTTGCAACCCTTTTTTGGCTCTGATCTTTCATGCTAAACAAACAATTTTTTGCACATCTCTGGTGGCAACTATGGAGTGAAAGAAAAATACCTTAAGTTACGGGGAAAAAATTAACAATAAAGGAAATTGACCAAATGAGATTTAATACATAATCATTAATTATAAGTCAGCGAAATGGTACCAATAAATGAGAAGTTTCTGTAAAAAGCAGAAAATCCCCTCGGCAACAAAGACGAAAGTAGACAAAAGCGTAGTTAAACTGACTACAAAGAACTATAAAACATATTTAATTTAAAAAGTTAAATTATAACAAAAATAAAAGCCAATTAGAAGAGGGATTTTTAAAATAAGGGGAAAATATTTGGAAGGTTGCAGAAAAACTGATTACAGGTCAGTCAAAACATGTATGTGCATTGTGCATGTAATATTTTTTATAAAAGTTGTGAGTATTTGAATGCAATTAAACAGAAGAAACGAATGTCTTCTGAATTAAAATTAAACAAAATAAATTAACCCCCTCGGGGAAGTTTCTGCATACGTAAGGTCATGCGAGTTAAGAACCCAACATAAGGATTCTATTAAACGCAAATTCGTACAAATACCTTCAGTCTCCTGGTATCGTTATGAAAGATGTATATTTTGTTGCTATTACAAAAAAATTATCATGATCCGCAATGCTATAAATTATAATATTGACACGTGAATATCGATATTTCTCGTAAATTTTGCTCGTATTTATTTTAAAACGAAGGAAATGTGATTTACATCGTAAAAAAGGTACTGTGTTCTAATAAAATCGTTCAAGTATGTTGCCGGGAAGCTAGTAAAAGAAAGTTAATGAATCATCCTGTGATCGATGTCGCACGCATCTTAATACATATGAATCGTTCCGATTGTATTTGCGATTGTTTTAGTGTCAAAAGTTGAGGTTAATTCATTTGTATAATTAAATGGTTTTTGAATGTGCTATCAATGTGTTTCCACGTGGCTTTTAATTAATTGTTTAATTTCGTATTTTAGACATGTATACAAACGTGTGTTGTTTTTAAATAATGCCTATTTATATTATTATGGATTAAGGACTATTATAGGTAAGTTTTTTGTAAAATTGTACTAATAATGTTACCATATGTAGACAAACAAAGTATTAGTAACACTAAAAAGCTTTGCTACAACAAAATGTAATGTATTTTTACCTTGCAACTATGACTTTGATATTCATTACAAAATAATATCTTTAAGACATTTTTAATTACTAATAGTGGTTAATATGCAATATTAATGTAAAAATTCATTTTCGATTTTCCATCCGCTACAAACTTCATTAGGATAATGAGGAAAAATATTTTTGTTGCTGTTGTCAGACCCCCGCCGAGAATCGAACTCGGGACCTTTGGCTTTACGCACCAATACAATATTTTCCCTCATTAACCTGAGGAAGTTGTAGTGAATGGAAAATCGAAAATGAATTTTCACATTAATATTTAATATCTTTAGAATAAGGAGAATGTGGCAATTAAAAAGTTTAATGTTAAACAACTAGGATGGTTTGAATGACAACAAAATTATATTAAAAAAAAATACATTTAGTTATCATCCATTAACCTTC